CAAATAAATGTACATTACTGTGTACATATTTCCAAAGTCGTGGCCACGACTTGAGCATGTTGGCACAATACCGAGAGGAAAGTGGATACACATGACGACATGTGCAGTGGACACGTACGGGGCTATCTGCCAATGGATCGCGATGATGATGATGGTGGTGGTGGTGGTGATGATACATATTTCCCTCTGCTATGCACGTACACTGAACGTCTTTCGCACCGTGCGTATCCAGTCGCGCTGATCGGAGGTGCGGGAGAGGCGTTCGATGTCATGCACAGAGGCTAGGCTCGCGCGTAAACGTACAAAAAGGGTCACCATTTCTCGTGGCGTGCTTGCTTGAGATGCCTTGTCAAACTCAAGAGCGCCATAAAGATCATCGCATGTCAACCATTCCGATGCGCCCCCCCTGCTGTGCAGTCTAGCCTAGGGTCAGCGTGACACGTATTAATCGTAAAGGGTGTTTTTTTTTGGCGTTGGAACGCGTAAATATGTGTCGTTTAAATCCGCCACCACCCTGCACAGCAAATTAATAAGGGTTGTCGCGTAAACAAAGCGTGACAATTAGTTACTACTTCAGCCCACCACTGTGTTGTGAGAGTAAAGCTACAACATTTACAATGCTGTGGATGTAATTTACCAGCGAAACGTCGTACAAAAAGTGGTAAATGTTGTGCATCTACTCTCCAACACACCGGCGGACTGAACTTGCAACTAATTGGCACGTTTTATTTAGGTGACGAACCTTACTGGTTGGCTGTGTCGGGTGGTGGCGGGTTAACGACACATTTATATTTACGCGATCTAACCCCACACCCCCCCCCCCTCCCAAAAAAAAACTTGTATTCGCCTAAGGTCCCCCACGCCGCGTAGCCAGTGGCAGCTGTCCCTTCGCGGCAGCGACGAGTCGAGGTATTGCATTCGTGATCCGGAAGATCGGAGCTGGTTGTCTTTTTCCCAGTCCTGCGTTATTTAACTCCTCCGTCGCGTGTACGCCTTTGGGGCATTGTGTTTGTATAAATGTTTGAACAAACAAAGTTGTGAATATTGAATAATCTCTAACCATTACGATGTTGCTCATTGCTCGTACAGTACTTGTGATGATGACGATGACAGTGAATGTTATTTTGATGATATCATGGCGGTAATTATCATTGCAATGGTAATGGATAAAGTTATTATTACAATGATGAATATTGTAATGTAAAATTATATGATGAATATTATAACGACGATGCCGAATATTGTTATGGTGATCGTGATGATGATGATGACGCCGCTTGCCATTATGAATTACTGATGTTTTGTTGAGTTCTGTTATTATATTTTTTTATTTGTATACTTTTTTTAGCCATTTGTAAAATGTGAATTTTAAATATTTCGAGAGAGCATAGGCGATCAATGTACCGAGGCTTTTTTTTTGCGATATTGCAGTTAAATATGATGTTGCTTTGCTTGTTTCATGACATTATATATAAAAAAATAACAAAGTGTAATAGTAATAATAAAAAATATCACAATAAAAACGAGAACATACACGACCTTATTTATGTACCCAATAACTACTCGCCGAGTCGCCAACCCGCCGCTGCTGCTGCTGTTGCCGCCACTCCGCTGGGATGTTGGGGCCGGGTCTCAGAGTGGTTTTTCTCGTCTTGAATCAACGCCGCTCAAAAATGTACGCGCAAACGCGCAGATGGAAATTGGTAAGAAATACCTTGATTATTTTCTTTTCACGTAGAGAGACGTGGATTTTCATTATGGGAGGAGCAGGACCTGTTCACACACTCGTCGCTGTTAATGGTAGCGAGCGGGAGGGGATTCGACCTCGGGGCGTCGGGTTCGGAGCGTAGTGCCCTTACCACTGCGCCACGGCTCCCCGTTAAGACGTCAAGACAAAGATCCCCCGCACAGCCTTTAACAGACTGCTTGGGGAAAGTGTTGTTAGAGAGCACCTAATGAAGGCCGCCGGCACGGCACACGAAGGGGTGGGTATGCCAACACCACGCCCGGCCGTCTTTGTCTCCCTCGTGGCGATGTTTACGCACCGCACGGGGCACTCCGTTGAGGCTGAGTAAAAAAGACACAAGCACGCTTCTGAACGAGCAAAACGCCGAGGCGGTGTGAAGACTGTTGGGCTATAGCGCCATCTGGCGGTAGACTCTGGCAACTGCCGTCACGAATTACAGCCTCTCGTAAATCCACTGCGGATGAAGACATCCTCCTGCTCCGCGGATCGTCCGTGGGAATTGTTTGACCTCAGCACGGGTGTTGACGGTGGGCGAGGGGAGCGACCGGGGCCTGATTCGGTTCGCGCTCGCCACTGACGGTAGCCGTGGCCGGGAGTTTCAACTCTTGGGCAGGGCGATAGCCACTCATGGGCCACCGCTCTCCATCCCTCTCTCTCTCTCGCTATCATCAAGCTCAGTAACAATCTATCTACACCAGGGGTCGGCAACCAACATGACAAGACTTAGCAGCTTTTTTTCGAATTCGAAAGCAAAAACCTCAATATTTCAAGATCCGCAATGCAATGTGGTCATTGTGAGACGGTGGTCCCTTAATAAATAACGTCACGAAGCGGCAGTCCTTGAAGAGTCGCCTGAGGCGCCGCAGCCTCAGGTTTGCCGAAGCCTGGGCTATACAATCAATATTGTAAACTCGCGACTCTTAGACCTGGGCTATACAATCAATATTGTAAACCAGCGACTCTTAGACCTGGGCTATACAATCAATATTGTAAACTAGCGACTCTTAGACTAGGGGTGCATCTCGCAATATTCTAAACTAGTGACTCTTAGACCTGCGGTGCATCTCCCAATATTCTAAACCTGTGACTCTTAAACCTGGGGTGCATCTCCCAATATTCTAAACCAGTGACTCTTAAACCTGGGGTGCATCTCCCAATATTCTAAACCAGTGACTTTTCGACCTGGGGTGCATCTCCCAATATTCTAAACCTGTGACTCTCTTACCTGGGGTGCATCTCCCAATATTCTAAACCAGTGACTCTTAAACCTGAGGTGCATCTCCAAATATTCTAAACCAGTGACTCTTAGACCTGAGGTGCATCTCCCAATATTCTAAACCAGTGACGCTTCGACCTGGGGCGCATCTCCCAATATTCTAAACCTGTGACTCTTAAACCTGCGGTGCATCTCCCAATATTCTAAACCAGTGACTTTTAAACCTGGGGTGCATCACGCACACCCTGGGGGTACGAGATGCCCTTTCTGGGGGTGCGAGACATGGCCAGATTTGTTTAGCAGGTAAATCATCGACACAAATTAAGCACGGGAACTTAAGTACAGCTGATTTGTTTAATCTAATCTATGTATTTATTGACGTTATTGATGTGTTAACCATTGAGAACGAGAGGTACAAGGCTGCAGTACAGGTTAAGAACCACTGGTCTCTGAAATCAATATTGACACTCATTATTGATAATCATCAGCATCGCCGATGACCAAATTATGATCATTGTGATTAATCTTGTCTACTCAGGAAAGCGTCACCGAGTCTCAAGATTCATTTCCAGGATGGTACTGCCACGGTTTCGCAGTAGGGGGCGATGCTGCTGCTGTGCGTTGATACCAGTTGAGTGATTTGCTGTCATTTTTCAACATTGGGATGGATGATTCAATACCGGTTACACTGCGGGGTTTTTAGCCATGGGAGGAAAGCGGAGAACCCTTTGAAAACCCATGCAGAACAATCTCCACTCACTCTCATTCTGCAGAATAGGGGGATAAGGGGCCGTCCATAAATGACGTCACACGATTTTGGACGGTTTTTGTCACACGGCGTCACAAAAGTCAGACCCCCCCCCCCCTCAAATATGACGTCACAAAAATATATATGCTTCAAATCGCTTTAAACTATTGCCATTGTAGTGCGTATTGTGGCGCTGCACTCTGATGTTGTAGGAGAAAACAATTATTAAAAAGTCTAATTAAGTAGAACGTGTTGTCTATTTTTATTTACAGTTGCGCATTTTGATGTAACGTCACATTTATCACCCCCCCCCCCCCACCATCGTCATGCATCGTCACAAATGTCTGACCCCACCCCTAGGTGCGTGACGTCATTTATGAACGGCCCCGAACATTAAAAAAAAAACTCCACTCACACTCATTCTGCAGAACAGGGGGGATAACATGCAAACACCACTCACTCTTAAACTCACTTATTCTCACTTGCAGAACAGGGGAAGAATATAGAATCTCCACTCACTCTCATCCTGCAGAACACGGGGAGAGAACGCTCCACTCACTGACACGCTCGGCGAAACGGTACGCGTCCAGTAAGAGCGGACTTCCAGCGTGTGGATTATGGGGCGACCAAAAACGAGATGGCGTGGCGTGCAGCAAGTGGGGATTGCTGGGACAGACTCTCACGAATCGCAGTGTCGTGAGAGGTAGCAGCGACTTTCGTGGGAGGCCTTCATCACCCAGCAGTGGATCGAGCGTGGCCGAAGACGACCGCTCGTGTGAGTGCGAGAGGCATCTGGCCACTGGGGCGGAGCGGTCAGCGCTACGAACCTGGCGACCCGGGTTCGATTCCCGCTCACGGCCAACAACACCCAGTGACGATTTTCTGAACCGGTCCTGGGAGGGCCTCCCCGGGGTCGACTCAGCCCTCAAAATGAGCACCTGGTGTGGTGCGTAAACATCGACCAGCGGGGAGACAAAGGCGGCCGGGCGTGATGTTGGCCAAACCCACCCCCTCCGTGTGCCGTGCCGCCCTTCATAGGCGCATGCCCCCGACATACCAGCCTGCTGCAGGCTACACGGGGGCGAATATTTGGCCTCCGAGAGGCGTTTGGGCCACATGGCAGACCGCGCCACCACGTGCTCGACTAGGGGCAACTGCAGGGACGCAAAGCGCATCCGCTGCGTAGCAAAGGGGAAGTGACGATCGTGGGTGGGGGTGGTTAGGGGAGGGGAGCATTGATTAGGGGGAGGGAGTGGGGGGGTCGTGGGGGAATCAGAGGGAGGGGGTTGTGTGGGGGGTGAGTGGAGAGATGTGGGGAGGAGGGATGGTTTAGCAAGGCCGCTTACTCCTCTCCACACACACACATCCATGTATAGCTTGCTCGGCAAAGACTTAGCAAGGCCTTTACCATCATCACCGCCATCACCACCACCATCATCACCACCACCACCACCATCATCATCACCACCACCAACCCCGTGGTCATGCGGCGAAGAGCCGTAGAGACCGCCGCTGCCGGGAGCTTGCTGTGGCTACTCGTGGCCGCTCTGATCCGCTCCGGTGTTCCACAGAAAGGTATCGGCATCGATATATAGCGTGGGGGGCCGGGGTAGTGGAGGAGGGCCGGGGTAGTGGAGGGGGGCCGGGGTAGTGGAGGAGGGCCGGGGTAGTGGAGGAGGGCCGGGGTAGTGGAGGGGGCCGGGGTAGTGGAGGAGGGCCGGGGTAGTGGAGGGGGGCCGGGGTAGTGGAGGAGGGCCGAGGTAGTGGAGGGGGGCCGGGGTAGTGGAGGGGGGGCCGGGGTAGGGGAGGAGGGCCGGGGTAGTATTGATCCTCGGTTTGGGATTCCAGAGTAGTAACCTGGCAGGGTTGGTTTCTTTCTCTGTGTGTGTTGTTGTTGTGTAGCTGGTGGTGGTGAGTGTTGGGGGAGAGGCAGTAGCTGGTGGTGGTGGTGAGTGTTGGGGGAGAGGCAGTAGCTGGTGGTGGTGAGTGTTGGGGGAGACAGTAGCTGGTGGTGGTGGTGAGTGTTGGGGGAGACGCAGTAGCTGGTGCTGGTGGTTTGTGTTGGGGAAGACGCAGTAGCTGGTGGTGGTGGTGAGTGTTGGGGGAGACACAGTAGCTGGTGGTGGTGAGTGTTGGGGGAGACGCAGTAGCTGGTGGTGGTGGTGAGTGTTGGGGGAGACGCAGTAGCTGGTGCTGGTGGTGGTGAGTGTTGGGAGAGACGCAGTAGCTGGTGGTGAGTGTTGGGGGAGACGCAGTAGCTGGTGCTGGCGGTGAGTGTTGGGGAAGACGCAGTAGCTGGTGGTGGTGGTGAGTGTTGGGGGAGACGCAGTAGCTGGTGCTGGTGGTGAGTGTTGGGGGAGACGCAGTAGCTGGTGGTGGTGAGTGTTGGGGGAGACGCAGTAGCTGGTGCTGGTGGTGAGTGTTGGGGGAGACGCAGTAGCTGGTGGTGAGTGTTGGGGAGACGCAGTAGCTGGTGGTGGTGGTGAGTGTTGGGGGAGACAGTAGCTGGTGCTGTTGGTGAGTGTTGGGGGAGACGCAGTAGCTGGTGGTGGTGGTGAGTGTTGGGGGAGACAGTAGCTGGTGGTGAGTGTTGGGGAAGACAGTAGCTGGTGGTGGTGAGTGTTGGGGGAGACGCAGTAGCTGGTGGTGCTGGTTAGTGTTGGGGGAGACGCAGTAGCTGGTGGTGGTGAGTGTTGGGGAGACGCAGTAGCTGGTGGTGGTGGTAAGTGTTGGGAAGACGCTGTAGCTGGTGGTGAGTGTTGGGGAGACGCTGTAGCTGGTGGTGGTGGTGAGTGTTGGGGGAGACGCAGTAGCTGGTGGTGCTGGTTAGTGTTGGGGGAGACGCAGTAGCTGGTGGTGGTGAGTGTTGGGGAGACGCAGTAGCTGGTGGTGGTGAGTGTTGGGAAGACGCTGTAGCTGGTGGTGAGTGTTGGGGAGACGCTGTAGCTGGTGGTGGTGAGTGTTGGGGGAGACGCAGTAACTGGTGGTGGTGGTGAGTGTTGGGGGAAACGCAGTAGCTGGTGGTGGTGGTGAGTGTTGGGGGAGACGCAGTAGCTGGTGGTGGTGAGTGTTGGGGAGACGCAGTAGCTGGTGGTGGTGGTGAGTGTTGGGGGAGACGCAGTAGCTGGTGGTGGTGGTGAGTGTTGGGGGAGACAGTAACTGGTGGTGGTGGTGGTTACAGCACGGCCGCCGCGGTGGGGGTGTTTGTTCTGGGATAGAGGCCTAGCCGGATTTTAGGCCGTGTGGGTGGGTGGGTGGTTGTGTGGCTGAGTGGCTGTGTGGATGGTTGTGTGGGTGGTTGTGTGGATGGATGAGTGGTTGTGTGGGTGGTTGTGTGGGTGGTTGTGTGAGTGGTTGTGTGAGCGGTTGTGTGGGTGGTTGTGTGAATGGGTGGTTGTGTGGATGGTTGTGTGAATGGGTGGTTGTGTTGTGTGGTTGGGTGAGTGGTTGTGTGGATGCGTGGGTGAGTGGATTTGTGGGTGGGTGGGTGAGTGAGTGGTTGTCTGGATGGGTCAGTAGTTGAGTGGTTGTGTATGTGGATTGATAGGTGAGTGGATGGGTGGGTGGGTGAATTTGAAAGGTTGTTGGCTGGGTGAGTGTGAGTGGTTGTGATGGTGTCCTTTTGTTTTGGCAGGTGGCTGAGTGGCTGTGTGAGTGGCTGTGTATGGGTAGTTGAGTGGCTGTGTATGGGTAGTTGAGTGGCTGTGCGGTTGGGTGATGATTGCATAGGTGGGTTATTGGCAGTATTTTGGTAGGCGAGTGGGTAAGTTCATGAATGGGTGAGTGAGGGAGCGAGTGGGTGAGTGAGTGGGTGAGTAGGTGAATGGGTGAGTGAGTGTGGTAGGTGAATGGGTGAGTGAGTAGGTGGGTGAGTAGGTGAATTGGTGAGTGAGTGGGTGGGTGAGTAGGTGAATGGGTGAGTGAGTGGGTGGGTGAGTAGCTGCTTGGGTGAGTGAGTGGGTGGGTGAGTCGGTGAAGGGGTGCGGGAGTCTGGGTAACTTAATATGATGGTCGGTTGATGAGTAATTCCTTGGATATCCCAATGATTCTATGTGCACCACTTGTGCTCTCTATGTGTAGGTTGGCGTATGGATGAGTCACTGTGCGGACGGGTTATGTCTGTGGCGAGTGAGTGGGTGGCTGAGTGGGCCGACGGTTAGCCCGAAACACCTCGCTCTGTCGCTTGATCTGCCAGACATCGGCGGTGTGGATGAGATTGTGAGCGAGTTGGCGAGGCGGTTGAGCGGGTGGAGGTGAGTTGGTGAGTGTGCGAGAGCGAGTGAGTTGGTAAGTGACCATATCTGCACAATGCTGTCAAATCTCGGCAGCAAAGCGGAGCCGAGCCTAGGCAGTGCTCGGGAGGGCCGTGACATCCGTGCATACCAGATGCTATAGGCTGCTGCGGGGCTGCGTTGAGCGCAGTGCATAAAACAAAATAATTCCACCTGTACTATTAATCTCGAACAGCTGTGCTTCCCCACCACCACCAAGACCAGCGCGGTGAAGTATGGTCAAACAACCTCCACGCGACCTGCAGCAGGCTGACGAACGGGGCCGACAGGGCCCCGAGGCTCACGGTTCAAATCCAGTGGCCGCCCCCCCCCCCCCGAGTGTAACAGTGTGGAGGTATTAACCATTCAAATCCAGCGGCTGCCTCCCGCACTGGACGTGAAGATCTCGTGACGTCGTCCGAAAGGGTATGGCACCGTCGTGCGCCAACGTCGGGGTCCAAATTCGGCAAATACAAATTTAAATTCATGTTATTTTATAATAATGTTATTTGATGTGCAGCGTTGTGGGATGCAATTGCATCCCACAACTCTGGACATCAGTTAGCCAGTCCCGTGCACAGATGATACAAAAAACAAAACCCACACTTAATCAAACACTAAAAAGATAAATATATAAATAACGAGAGAGAGTGATAAGTACACATAACAATAAAATGATCATCACAGAGAAAAATCCGGAAGATCCCACCGCAAATTTACTCGATTTGAATATACCGTACTGTACTGCACTGTACATATAAATCCATTACCCCCCCCCCCCCATTGGCAAAACACTGCGCAGTACCCTCCTGGGTAAACGAGCAGAATCATCACAATAACAACAACAATGAACCATCTCAGATTCCCCGACCACGTGGCCATCGTGGAAGAGCGTGGAGGACAAAGTAGAAATTACAACGATAGACTAATTTTTACTTTACAAGGAATCGCCCACTGTGCTTTGCTGCTCTTTTTCAGAAGCGACCTGCCTATCACAAATGATAGCTTTAACGAAGTGGCTTGTCATCACGTGGAAATATGTAGCTGCCAAATACTCTTAAATGCAGAATGTTGATTCTAAATGTGGAGGGAAAACCCGGAGGAGGACCCAGAGAAAAATCCACGCGGCCACGAGGAGAGAGAGAGAGAGACACACACAAACACCAAATATACAGCAGCAGGCGTCAGGGTCGGAATCGAAACCACGACCTCCTGCGTACCAGGCGAGGCAGTTAACATCTCCTAGCCACCGTACGGGTGGTGGGCGGTGGTGGCCATGCTGCTGCACCGTGGCAGCCTGCAGCCTAAGCGCTGTGGAGGCAGAAGATTGCTCTGGGCTATCGCTTCACGAGGCCAAGAAGCCTCGCGGCCAACTCGGTGCGCCCCCATCCCCGTGCCGGCGAGCGTCGGCACAGGACCCTCTTAGCAAGAGACTCTTGAGACCTTGGTGTGTTTTTCACGGTGTGTTGGCGTGCGTGTGCGCGCGCCCGCGAGTTTGCGACGTCGCTCGTTAAAGTGAAAGCGATGCGACGCTGCGGGTGGCTAATTGAGCGAGCCGAGTTCTCAGTTTCGTCCTTAATTCGGACGGCAGATTAGATTTTATGCGAGAGAGACACCCGGCGTCTGGAGGCGGAGGGTCGATGCGCCCGGCGTCGCGTCACCGCCACGGACGGCTGCTCGGCAGCGGGCGGCCACCGCGGCGGTTTAATGGTCAGCGGCAATCGTGCCAGGCTCGCGACCCACAGGTCGCCGGTTCGACTCCGTCTCCCCGCTGGGGCGAGCGGTTGAAATGGTGGTGCAGGTTTCTTAAATCGTCCACCAAGCTAAGCTGAGCTAAACTTAAACAGTTTTCTTTGACCAGGTAAGGCCCCACTGAGCTATATGCTGCAGCTCCTTTTTCAGAAGCGAACTGGCCACAAATAGCTCAGCGAAGTCGCTTATCACGTGGAAATGTATAGCAGCCAAATACTCTGAACGCACGTTGATTCTAAATGTGGAGGGAAAAACCGGAGGACCCGGAGAAAAATCCAAGCGAACAGAGGGAGAGAGACACAAACTCCAAATATACAGGTATCAGGGGTCTAACTCACGACCTCCTGCATGCCAGGCGAGGTAGGTAACATCTCACCACCGTGGCACCCTCCCTCCATGCTCACTCCGCCTTCCTCCACCCAGCGGTGTAAATGTCGGTCGGTGATCAGCTGGCAAGTCGCCTGAAGTGGGACAATGTGTGTGTCTCTGGCTGGCTGGTGTGGAAGAGTAGGCCAAATACCTGTACGGGCAGCGGTGGTGTCGTGGTTAGCGCGCTTCCGATACGATAACTCAGCGACGAAAGTTTGATTCCCACTCATCACCAATAACACTGGGGATTATTTGAGCCGGTCCTGGGCCTCCTCGAGGTCGACTCAACCTCAAATGAGTGCCTGGTGCAATGTGTAAACATTATCACTCGGGAGATGAAGACGGCTGGGTTTGGTGCTGGCCACCCACGCCATCGTGTGCCATGCCGGCCCTCATAGGCGCTACTCGCAAACAGCACTTGCCCCAACATTCTGTTAAGGCTATAGGGAGGGTTCTTTGTGTCTTGAGTGTGTGTGTCTTTGTATGTATGTATTTGTGTGTATGTAGGTTCTCGCTAACAGCACTTGACCCCAACAGTTGGTTTCGGCTGTTGGGGTCAAGTTGGGGGGGGGGGGTACGTCTGGGGGGGAGATTTTTTTTCAGCAATGGGGAAACAAAGGCGGCTGGGCGTGGTGCGTGCGTGGTGCGTGCGTGGTGCGTGCGTGGTGCGTGTGTGGTGCGTGTGTGGTACGAGCGTGCGTGGTACGTGTGTGGTGCGTGCGTGGTGCGTGCGTGGTGCGTGCGTGGTGCGTGCGTGGTACGTGCGTGGTGCGTGCGTGGTGCGTGCGTGGTGCGTGCGTGGTACGTGCGTGGTGCGTGCGTGGTGCGTGCGTGGTGCGTGCGTGGTGCGTGTGTGGTGCGTGTGTGGCGCGTGCGTGGTGCGTGTGTGGTGCGTGTGCGCAGGTGATGGGTGCGGCCACTCGGTGCTGGGCGCGCTCAGCGGGACGCTCTCCTCGCTCGGCTACCCGGCCGCGTCCCCGGCACACGCCGTCTGCGTCTGGGAACTCCGTGTGCCGCCCGGCCGGCGTATCCGCCTCCGCTTCGCCGACTTGCAGGTTGTGACCACCCCCCCTCCACCCCCCCCCCCCCCCCCCGCATTGTGTAAAAAAACTACAGTGGGGTCGGAGGTTGCCAGAAAAAAAATGGCGGGGTCAGAGGTCGTAGGTGAAATCCGCGGGGTCGGAGGTCATGTTAAAAAAACCAGTGGGGTCGGAGGACACCTGAAAAATTCACAGGTCACGGGTGATGGATAAATATGTGGGGTCAGAGGTCATAGGTTTAATATATGTTCCGAGATTCAGCGGTGAACGGGACTCGCCCTACAACTTACAGACGTCTCAGAACGGGAAAGGGTGAAGTGGTTTTTTTTTTACATCAAAATGTATTAATTCAACTTGCAAGTTCTATCTTCGGTTCTTGTCTGCATCTATCGCCTGTCATCTCGCTTAGGTTCTGGCGCCGGAACCCTTCCACTGCCAAGAAAACCACGTCAAGATCTACAGCGGCATCTCCAACTGGTCCGAGATGGGTGAGAGACAAAACTCGTCGCTACATCGGTGCTAACGATGCGGCGCGGTGATTCTGGTGGTGTTGGTGGCGGCGGCAGTGGCGGCAGCGGCGGCGGTGGTAGTAACGCGGGTGGCGATGACGGCGATGGTGGTGATGGCGGAGGTAGCGATGGTGGCGGTGGTGGTGATGGCGGCGATGGTGGTGATGGCGGAGGTAGCGATGGTGGCGGTGGTGGTGATGGCGGCGATGGTGGTGATGGCGGAGGTAGCGATGGGTGGCGGTGGTGGTTGCTATGCCGCTGCACGTGGCTGCCTGCAATCCAGCACTGCGGAGGCGGCGGCAGTAGCGGCGGCAGTAGCAAGGGTTGGCGGATGGCGTAAATCTGGTGAATTTCCCATTGCCGTCGAGGAGGGGCCGTGCCCTGGCTCGTCAGGAGAAAGCGACACGGCAAACACTAAGACTACACCCGTCCCTTGCGCACGATGGGATAGAGTGTTGCCCTCAACCTCGCACGGGCCTGGGTTTCCTCCGGGTGCCCCGGCTTCCTGCCACATGCAGGACTCGCTGATAGCACCTTCATGTGTCGAGGACTGCAGAGTGTGGGCGATTGTTGACGCCGCTGGCTCCTCACCGCCACTCCGTTGAGCCGTTGTTTGCTGCCAAGTTGCTTCTGAAAAAGAAAGCGATGGCCGAGTGGGCTTTACCTGGTAAGATAGAGAATAGTTTAGTTGTATTGGTATATTATTTGTGATTTGTTGACCTTTCCATTACTTTGCACTGCTGTCGTGTTTCTGTATCGTGTGTTGTAACGCTCTGACCCACCCCGACTGGACATCTGTGATAAAGATCGTTGTAGCTCAACGGATTCCTCCTGCAGTATAAACAAATGCCCTCCTGGCGCCTATCTCTTCGAGAGGGAGTGAACAGCACTTGCCCCAACAGTCTGTTCAAGGCTGCACGGGGGATCTTTGCCTTTTGTGTGTGTGCGTGTGCGCGCTTGCGTGCGTGCAGGCACGTTCTGCGGGGAGCTGGACAAGGTGAAGCAAGAACTCGTGTCCGAGAGTAACGAGGTGACGGTTCGATTCCAGAGCGGGTCCCACGAGCCCGGGCGAGGGTTCCTCCTTTCGTATGCCATCGACGACCACGCTGGTCAGTAACCTCGTCCACACCTCATCACTCACTACTCCACACACCTCATCGCTCACTACTTCACACACCTCATCGCTCACTACTTCACACACCTCATCATGCCTTATGACTGCACACACCTCGTCGCTCACTACTCCACACACCTCATCGATCACTACTCCACACACCTAATCGCTCACTACTCCACACACCTCATCGCTCACTACTCCACACTCTTCATCGCTCACTACTCCACACACCTCATCACTCACTACTCCACACACCTCATCACTCACTACTCCACACACCTCATCACTCACTACTCCACACTCTTCATCGCTCACTACTCCACAAACCTCATCGCTCACTACTCCACACACCTCATCGCTCACTACTCCACACACCTCATCGCTCACTACTCCACACACCTCATCACTCACTACTTCACACACCTCATCACTCACTACTCCACACACCTCATCATCGCTCACTCCTCTACACACCTCATCGCTCACTACTCCACACACCTCATCATTATTACTCCACACACCTTCTCATCGCTCACTACTCCACACCTCATTGCTCACTACTCCACACACCTCATCATCGCTCACTCCTCTACACACCTCATCGCTTACTACTCCACACACCTCATCGCTCAGCCGCTCATGGTGAATGACAACAAACAAGTGAACTGCAAAACAACATTTGACTCCGTTGGGCTTTGGAGGTTGGGCTTGAGTCGGGTGAGTGTCAGTCCAGCAGTGGAGAGGACATGGCTGATGCCGATGATGATGAATTGACGATGAGCATCGTTTGCCATCGTCTACAGACCTCATCACGTGCCTGGAGAGCGGGGCGGACTTTGCGGACCACGAGTTCACGTGAGATATACAAACAAAGACAAAGGGTCCCCCGCGTGGCCCACGCAGGCTGTTGCCCGGAGCCAAGTGCTGTTAGCTGACAGCACAACTGAAGGCCGGCACGGCGCGCGAGGGTGCGGTGTGGCCGGCACCGCGCCCGGCCGCCTTTGTCTCCCCAGTGGTGATGTTTACACACGCAACACACACAGCCACAAAAATTCGTACACATAACCCACACACGTCCTGTGCTTGTGTGACCGCGGTACGTGTGTCCGCGTGTCTCCGTGTCCCCGTGTCCCCCCCTGTGTTCGTCTGGTCCCCACTGTGTGTCCCGTTGTCCCCCTCTGTGTCCCCCTCTGTGTCCCCCCCTGTGTCCCCCTCTGTGTCCCCCTCTGTGTCCCCCGTGTGTCCCCCTCTGTGTCCCCCTCTGTGTCCCGTGTGTCCCATGCATCTTTGCGGTGCAGGAGGTTCTGTCCGGCCGGGTGCCTGACTCCGTTCGGCGACGTCTCCGGCACCATTCCCAACGGCTACCGCGACGTGAGTGACACCACAACACCAACGCCACCACAACAACCGCCACAGCATGAGCGCCCTCACCACCAACAACTACGACAAGAACCACAGTGCGTGTATGTATGTATGCGTGCGTGCGTGCTGGTGTGTGTACGTGTGCACGCGCGTGTGTGTACGTGCGGCAGTCTTCCCCGGTGTGCAGGGCGGCGGTGCACGCCGGCGTCATCGCGCCGGACCGCGGGGGTGTGGTGAGCGTCGTGCAGAGCAAGGGGCGAGCGTCCTACGAGAGCCGGCTTGCCAACAACGTCACCTCGCTCCAGTGAGACGCACGCCACACACACGCGCACGCATACGTGCGCATACACGCGCGCACACGCACACATTCGCGCCCGCTCGCTCACACGTGTCCGCGTGGCTACTCCCTTTTGCGTGTCCGACAGGGGCAGCGACTCCCCCAACCTCTTCACGTTCAAGACGACGGGTACGCGACGCCTCCGCCCACATGTTCTTGGTACTTTCGGTAAAGTCACGTAGAAGGGAAACAATAAAATAGTAAAAATGTAAAACAATAAAATTCTCACGACGTTTCGACTGCAACACAAGCAATCATCGTCAGGTGTGAAAACCACAACAGGTGTGAAAAACATAACAAGAAAAAAAATTATTGCTGTGGTTTTCACACCTGATGATGATTGCTTGTGTTGCAGTCGAAACGTCGTGAGAATTTTATTGTTTTATATTTTTATTATTTTATTGTTTCCCTTCTACGTGACTTTACCGAAAGAACCAAGAGTATGAATCCCTGCAGTCACGAAAGCTTTAAATCAAGATTTAACCGCCCACGTCGCGCCCACCCGCCTTGTGCTATCAGCCGCTGTGTCCAATCGTCGAGAACGCCGCCGCTGTGTTGAATCGGCGCATTACGCTCATTGTTGCTTCGTGTTATTCACGTGGAGCTGCGTGTCAGGTTCTCGGCGTACATTGGCTTCCTTGCGTTTGCGTTAATTACCGTGTCGCCCGTGTTGCTTACGTTTGTGTTATCCTGCCCCTTGTCTGCGTTCCCTATCTTCACGTTGATCATCGCCCCTCCCCTCCCCCCCCCTCCCGTCCCTCGCTTTCCTCCCATCCCTCCCGTCCCTCCCTCGCATCCTCCTCCCTAACGACCCCGGCAGGCTGCTACGGCAAGCTGGGCATGGAGTCGGGCACGATCCGCGACTCTCAGCTCTCGGCGTCGTCCGTGCTGGCGCAGCTCGGCAAGGACGGCGTGGTGATGGCGCTGACCCTGTCAAGCGCGCGCCTGGGCTACGCCGGCCCGGCATGGGTGGCGCGCCTCGCCGACCCCCCCCACTGGCTTCAGATCGACCTCAACAAGGAGCGGCGCGTCACAGGTTCGGTGGCACCGTGTCGGAGCGCCGTCGCACCGAAACACCATCGCTCTGTCCGGCTGTTGCAATGTCGCACCGTAGTATCGGAGCGCTGCCGCGTAGAAACAACGTCATACTGTCATATTGTAGCCACCGTCGCTCCATCGCACGGTCATTCCGTGTGCGTGCCGTGCGTGTCGTGTCGAGCATGCCGTGCATGTCGTGCGTGCTTGCCATTCAGGTATCGTGACGGCCGGCTCGGGGGGTCCTCCAAACCCCTCCTACTTCGTCTCGGCCTACAAGGTGCAGTGGAGCCTGGACGGGGCCGCGTGGAGCACGTACAAGAACAACATCGGCGGCACCGATAAGGTGGGCCGTCCCCTCGCAACCCCCCTCACCCCCCCTCACATCCCCAACCCCCCCTCCCCCCTCCTGATCCCCCCCCCCCCCTCCGATCCCCCTAGCCGTCCCCAAAAATTGTCTGAAATTGCCCACAACACAACCGCCACTTCAATGAAGGTGGCCTGCAGTGGCCTGGAGGTTCACAATGTCCGTGTCAGAGACTCTTGAGACCCATATCGGGCGTACCGAGAAGGTCTGCCTGATCCCCTCCTGCTCCCCCTTAATACCCCCTTGAACCCCCTCTTGATCCCCTGTGCTCCCCCTTTAACCCCCCCTGCCGCCCCCCCCCCCCCCCGATTCCATTCTGCTGCCCACCTGCTGTACTGCGGGGGCACCAGAGGTGACATCTCAGAAACTGCCTCTGCGACATCCACGTCCTCTAGCACAACCTGGTCGGGGCCACGCGCTGCAAGAGATTCGAAACTTTGGGGGGACAGCGACCCCACCCACAATTGAACCCCTTAACACCCGCCTCTCGTCCCCCGCCCCCCCCCCCACCACACCGGCGCGTCTGCCCGCCGCCCACCGCCCACCGCCCAGCTATTCCAGGGTAACGTGGACAGCCTGAGCCCCGTGCGGAACAACTTTGTGCCGGCGCTGGTGACGCGTCTGGTGCGCGTCTGTCCCATCGCCTGGCACCAGAAGATCGCCATGAAGCTGGAGCTGCTGGGCTGCGAGCTCCCAACCACGGCGGCGGCTGCGGGGACACTACGACGTGAGCGCACGCGCGCGTGTGTGCGCGTGTGTGTGTGTGTGCGCGTGTGTGTGTGTACGCGCGTGTGTGTATATTGTGGGGAGCGGTAGTGTCGCGGTTAGCCCCCGCCCCCTCGTGTGCCGTGCCGGCCTTTATAGGTGCTCGCTAACAGCACTTGCCCCCTACAGTTTGTTAAGGCTATACGGGGGATCTTTGTCTTTGCGTGTATATTTGTAGGTTGGTTTACGTGTCCTCCATTCTCCATGCTTGTGAAACGTGGACCCCTTTAAAGGAACAACAGCGCTCGTTTGAAACATTCAGGTTGACCTATCCATGATCTATCCTGGGTTTAATCAGATGGAATTGAGTGAGGAGCTCACAGAACATTGAAATATCTGGACACGGTGCCATCGGTGAGCTCCTCTGGCAGATGAGGTTGTGTTGGCTGGGTCATGTAGCCCGCATGCCCAACCACCGCATGCCCAAGCAGATTCTGTTTGACTGAATAGTGGGGGCTAAACGGGCATGGTACTGATGTGTTAAAGAAGGATGCTGAACTGAGTGGACTTGCTGGTGACTGGTACTAGTGGTATCAAGACCTTACTGTATCGGGAGGCTCGTGAAGGACGCTACTTGGCAGTTGGAGGCAGTCGCCCTCCAACAACAACGGAGGGCGGAGGAGCGACGCTCACAACGACGAGCGCAGCGCCGGGTGGCTAAAACGCAGCGAGTTGGCACAGTAGGGAGCACAGGTGGTGCATCTGCCAGCCATCTCAGTCAATCAACCCGTGGCATCTGGGTCTGTCCCGTAACCTGCGAGCCGAGCAATCCTTCTGCACTTGACAGCCTCATTGATGACAGCAACATGACAGCCTCAATGATGACAGCCTCAGTGATGACAACAACATGACAGCCTCAGTGATGACAACAACATGACAGCCTCAATGATGACAACAACATGACAGCCTCAATGATGACAGCCTCAGTGATGACAACAACATGACAGCCTCAGTGATGACAACAACATGACAGCCTCAATGATGACAACAACATGACAGCCTCAATGATGACAACAACATGACAGCCTCAATGATGACAGCCTCAGTGATGACAACAACATGACAGCCTCAATGATGACAACAACATGACAGCCTCAATGATGACAGCCTCAGTGATGACAACAACATGACAGCCTCAGTGATGACAACAACATGACAGCCTCAGTGATGACAACAACATGACAGCCTCAATGATGACAACAACATGACAGCCTCAATGATAACAGCCTCAATGGTGACAGCAACATGACAGCCTCAATGATGACAGCCTCAATGATGACATCAACGTGACAGCCTCAATGATGACAGCCTCAATGATGACAGCAACATGACCGCCTCAATGATGACAGCAACATGACAGCCTCAATGGTGACAGCAACGGCAGCCTCAATGATGACAGCAACATGACAGCCTCAATGATGACAGCAACGTGACAGCCTCAATTATGACATCAACGTGACAGCCTCAATGACGACAGCCTCAATGATGACAGCCTCAATGATGACAGCAACATGACAGCCTCAATGATGACATCAACATGACAGCCTCAATGATGACAGCCTCAATGATGACAGCCTGAATGATGACAGCAACATGACAGCCTCAATGACGACAGCCTCAATGATGACAGCAACATGACAGCCTCAATGATGACAGCAACATGACAGCCTCAATGATGACATCAACATGACAGCCTCAATGATGACATCAACATGACAGCCTCAATGATGACATCAACATGACAGCCTCAATGATGACAGCCTCAATGATGACAGCAACATGATAGCCTCAATGATGACAGCAACATGACAGCCTCAATGGTGACAGGCTCAATGATGACAACGTGACAGCCTCAATGATGACATCAACATGACAGCCTCAATGATGACAGCCTCAATGATGACAGCAACATGATAGCCTCAATGATGACATCAACATGACAGCCTCAATGGTGACAGCCTCAATGATGACAACAACATGACAGCCTCAATGATGACAACAACATGACAGCCTCAATGATGACAACATGACAGCCTCAATGATGACAACAACATGACAGCCTCAATGATGACAACAACATGACAGCCTCAATGATGACAACAACATGACCGCCTCAATGATGACAGCAACATGACAGCCTCAATGGTGACAGCAACATGACAACCACAATGATGACAGCACCATGACAGCCTCAATGATAACAGCCTCAATGATGACAACAACATGACAGCCTCAAAGTGCGCCTGGCACGGGTGCCTTGGCTAAGTCACCGCCACTTAGGCGAATGGCGGCTGTTGTTGTTGTCATCGTGTGTCTGTGCATCTCAAGTGACATTTGTTGCTGCGTATACGTGGCCCTCCGTGCCTTTGCTGGGTAATTTGGGGGGGGGGGGTTGCTACGGTGGCGAGATGTTAACTCCCTCGCTTGGTAGGCAGGAGGTCGTGGGTTCAATCCCGATCCTGATGCTTGCTGTATATTTTGAGTTTGCGTGTGTCTTTCTCACCGTGGTAACGTGGATTTTTCAGCGGGTTCTCTTTTTTTCCCCATGCCATTGAGAATAAACATCCCTTTAGAGTATTTGGCCGCTATAAATGTCCACATGGCGATAAGCCACTTCAATGAGCTATGATTTGTGGTAGGCAGATCGCTTCTGAAAAAGAGTTACGTAGCTCAGTGGGCCATTACCTGCTAAAATACCAAAAAGCTAAATGATTATGATCTATTCATTCTCGTCGTTCTTGACTCATCCCGACCCGCTGTTCTCTCATTCCTTCGCCCCGCGACCTCCCCACTCCTGACCCCCGGCAGCTCGTGCTATGCGGCCGGTGGGGGCCTCTCCGCCGGGGGGCACGGAGTGGCCCCCAGGGCGGGGAGCGGAGGTGGGGGCCACCACTGTGACGGCCGTCAAGAACAGCACCATGCCGGGCGGCACACAGAGAGGTAACGTGCCGCTGTGTTACAATAAAAGCGGACTACGACCATCTTGTATAGATTTTAGCCAATAAAAAAAAGGTGGGGCATGTCACATGATGCTCATCATACCATCCAATGGGATTACTCAATCCACGGATGTATTGGCAATGAATCTGTGTGGCTGCCGAATCAACTGAAAATAATCGATGCAATTCACCTCGATTCACAATCCTCAATAACATACATTGGCAAAGACACGCATCTTCGGGCAACACCACGCCTACTTTCTTCCGTATACATGCATTCCTTGACATACGCGATAGATACGTTCCTGGAAAAGCGCGTGTATCTCAAAACCGCCTATGTGAAAAGCAATTTCCCCCTAAATAATGGTAAAGGAGGGGGGTTAGGGGACTTCACTCATACTCGCAAACATAATCGCCTATTTTATCCTAGCCTATATCAATACAATACAAATGCATGCAATATAATACTGTAAATTGAAAACAAAATCACTTAAACTCGAATATACATGTAAAATAAACACGAAAAAGAAAGAGAGCATTACTTGTAACTACGCCAGAGTTGCGCTGCAGAGGGGATTGATGGAGATGGAGACGCAGCGAGATGCTGCACAGTTACAGGAAAGCGCGCCGGCTATCGTACCGCACTCGCCGCTGGCAACGCCATTGGGTGGCGGTGCCAGGCTAGGGGTGGTGCGTGCATCGCGGGTGACGTCGTCTCGAAAATCGCCTGGCGTATGTCAGTACAAGGGTGGAAAGATAATGCGCGCCGCGGTATTCCAAAATTTGGCGTACCGCAAAAGCGCGTAAACCGAGGATTGGCCTGCGTGGGCAAATCTCCGGTGGGTGATTTCGCTGGGAAGTCCGGTTTTAAAATACGACGGCACGCCACCCCAGCCGTGACCCTCCGGGGATTGTCATCGTCGATGCCGCTGTCGTTGTGGACTTCGGTGAACTACTGGACGTCTGTGCAAAAGAGCTTTACAGCTCGCCGGATTCCTTCAGTATTAATAAATATTCCGATTCTTTTCGTCGTGGCCGTCATCGTTGTTTTGTTATCATCGTTGCCGTTGTTGTTTAGGTTTCATTGTTTCAGTCGTCATTGTTGTTTTGTCGTCGGCGGCAGCATTGTTGTTGTCGTTGTCATTGTCGGCATCGTCATTATCGTCGTTGTCTGCTCCTAGTGTTTCCCCTAGGTCGACTCGGCCTTATGTCGTTTGATCATCAGCACTGGAGACAAAGGGGTGACTGGGTGTCGTGCTGGACACTGCCCCCCACCCCCCCCATGTGCTGTACACCATCTTTCACTCACAGGTGTTCACTAAAAGCACTTGCCCCGACAGTCACTTGAGGCTACATGGGGGATCTCTGTCTCTCTCCTGCAGAGCTGGTGCTCGTGTCCACGCTGGTGCCGGTGTGCGTCGTCCTCGTTGCTGTGCTCCTCGTCCTGTCCTTCATCTGCGCCAAGAGGAGGCGCGACCGCGGACGGTGAGACGTGGCGGCTCATTAGCCGCCCACCTCGTTAGCCGGCCGCCTCGTTAGTCGCCCGCCTCGATAGTCGTCCACCTCGTTAGTCGTCCACCTCGTTAAACGTCCACCTCGTTAGTCGTCCACCTTCGTAGAGCGAGAGGGAGAGAGGGGACGACTCGGAGGCGCCAGGAGGAGGAACCACAGACGAACAGGAAGGCAGCAGCAGCAGCAGCAGCCACGTGGCAAGGAGCCGGTGCCAAATTCCCTCCCAAGCTCTGCGGTCCTCTATATATAAAGTTGTTATTGGCCCATTAATGAGATGGCACTTTATTGAAGACACGTTCACTTGACATCAGGCAGAGGCCCCCACTGCAACAGCCCCGAGTCTCCCGCGCATCTCCCCCTTATATACCGACACGAGGCCACGCCCCCTTCTCGATCATTCTCGCTGACTCTGGACGCTCGCTCCACCGGCAGACTCCACCGTCCTCTTCCGTCGCCTGACCACGCTCCCTTCTCGAACATTCCCGTGGCCACCAGTCCCTTCGCACTCACAACTGACTCCCCTGTCATTACCTCCCGTGGCCACCAGTCCCTTCTCACTCACAACTGACTCCCCTGTCATTACCTCCCGTGGCCACCAGTCCCTTCTCACTCACAACTGACTCCCCTGTCATTACCTCCCGTGGCCACCAGTCCCTTCTCACTCACAACTGCCTCCCTTGTCATTACCTCCCGTGGCCACCAGTCCCTTCTCACTCACAACTGCCTCCCCTGTCATTACCTCCCGTGGCCACCAGTCCCTTCTCACTCACAACTGACTCCCCTGTCATTACCTCTCGTGGCCACCAGTCCCTTCTCACTCACAACTGACTCCCCTGTCATTACCTGCTGTGGCCACTAGTGCGTTCGCACTGTCGGTTGACCTCCCTGTTATTACCTCCCGTGACCACTAGTCCCCTCACGCCGCATGCAGGCTCTATTGTCATGACACGTGTGAGAGGAAACTGGAGTATCCAGAGGGGGAAACACTCTGTCTACACAGATGGAACAGGTGGGAGTCTTACATTTGCCGTACCACCTTCTCCTGGCGAGCCAGGGTAGGGGGCTCCCCCTCGATGCACGCCCACGGAAAAGGAGTTTTCTGCAACTTTTGTGCGGTGATCCGCCAACCCTCTCGCTGCGACTGCTGCTGCTCCCTCCACAGTGCCGGGTCACACACAGAGCCACGTGCAGCGTAGCCGCTACCACCATGTGCCGACGTGGCAGACTATAATTTTGTGCAAAATCGGCTTAAAATACCCCGACATCTTAGCCACGGCGGCCGAGGGTCACATGGTGGAGCGGGATTTAAGACGCCCAGTTGCTTGTGGTGTTGCATTCTGCGAGAGCTGACGGTAGAAACTCCACATAACTATGGCAGGGACACTACACAAACACGGTCTAGTCATTAGACGGCCGACGCTGTTGTGTTTTCATGAAAATAATAATATAAAATAAATGAGAATGTTTATGTAGCTGCTTTTGAATATCTTTGGGTCTCTGTGTGAGTCTGTTGGTCTCTGTGTAGGTCTGCGGGTCTCTGTGTGAATCTGTGGGTCTCTGTGTAGGTCTATGAGTCTCTGTAGGTCTATAGGTCTGTGTGTGAGTCTATGCTATTTGAGTCTATGGGTCTCTGTGTAGTTCTTTGGGTCTCATTGTGTAGGTGTTCAGCGTGTCATCGAGGTTGTGATGTTGAACTATTTGTTTTGCCGGACTGTGTTGGCAGGAAGGACGCCGGGCCCGCATACAGCCTGCCCTGCACTCCGGGCCAGTCAGGTGAGAGTGCAGGGCAGCTCGGGGCAGCCCTGGGTAGCCTGGGACAGCACGGGGCAGCACGGGGCAGCACGGGGCAGCACGGGGTAGCACGAGTAGTCAGGTCATTGTGATGTGGCGACGCTATGATACGTATCGTACAATATTACGGCGTACATGGTACGCCCTTTTCCAACAGCTGTCCCTCCTCATGAGAGTGATGGTTAATTAAGAGTGCGGGTACTCCCACCTCTTCGTAATACGGCCAGTGTGGAAGAGTAGACCTAAACACCCGGTTAGAGGGACTCCCCGAGAGCGGCTCCAAGTGGAGGCCTCTTTTGTCAGCAGTGGCGTGAGTGAGCAATTGCACAGGCTGCGCCTTTACCTTCAACGACAACTCCTGTTGCTGCGTGGAACCTCTCTCTCCTCCCTCCCCATCCTCCCCCCCTCCATCCCCCTCTCCCCCCCACCCTCCCCCGCGCGCCCCCCCCCCCTCCCCGTGTGCCCCCCTCCCCCAGGCTGGTTCAAAGGCCTCAAGCAGGTGTTCCCGCGGCAGGGGGAGGGGCGGGGGCGGGGGGGAGGGGGAGGCGGGGGCGGCCTCCACGGAACCGACTCCTCCCTCAACGTCCGCTACAGCAGCGACGCGCACCGGGGCCCGGCGGCACGCAAGCACAGCGTGCCTGGTAACACGCCAGCTGTAGCTGAGGGGACAGCACACCAGCTGTAGCCGAAGGGACAGCACGCCAGCTGTAGCCGAAGGGACAGCACGCCAGCTGTAGCCGAAGGGACAGCACGCCAGCTGTAGCCGAAGGGACAGCACGCCAGCTGTAGCCGAAGGGACAGCACGCCAGCTGTAGCCGAAGGGACAGCACGCCAGCTGTAGCCGAGGGGACAGCACGCCAGCTGTAGCCGAGGGGACAGCACGCCAGCTGTAGCCGAAGGGACCGCACGCCAGCTGTAACCGAGGAGACAGCACGCCAGCTGTAACCGAGGAGACAGCACACCAGCTGTAGGAGAGGGGACAGCACGCCAGCTGTAGCCGAGGGGACCGCACGCCAGCTGTAGTAGAGGGGACAGCACGCCAGCTGTATCCGAAGGGACAGCATGCCATTTGTAGCCGAGGGGACACCACGCCAGCTGTAGTAGAGGGGACCGCACGCCAGCTGTAGCCGAGGGGACAGCACACCAGCTGTAGCCGAAGGGACAGCATGCCAGCTGTAGCCGAAGGGACAGCACGCCAGCTGTAGGAGAAGGGACAGCACGCCAGCTGTAGCCGAGGGGACAGCACGCCAGCTGTAGCCGAGGGGACAGCACGCCAGCTGTAGCCGAGGGGACAGCACGCCAGCTGTAGCCGAGGGGACAGCACGCCAGCTGTAGCCGAGGGGATCGCACGCCAGCTGTAGCCGAGGGGACAGCACGCCAGCTGTAGCTGAGGGGACCGCACGCCAGCTGTAGCTGAGGGGACAGCACGCCAGCTGTAGCCGAGGGGACAGCACTGCCAGCTGTAGTAGAGGGGACAGCACGCCAGCTGTAGCTAGAGGGGACAGCACGCCAGCTGTAGCCGAGGGGACAGCACGCCAGCTGTAGCCTGAGGGGACAGCACGCCAGCTGTAGCCGAGGGGACAGCACGCCAGTTGTAGCTGAGGGGACAGCACGCCAGCTGTAGCCGAGGGGACAGCACGCCAGCTGTAGCCGAGGGGACAGCACGCCAGTTGTAGCTGAGGGGACAGCACGCCAGCTGTAGCCGAAGAGATAGGACACGAGCTGCAGCTATGATAGCTCAGAGCTCAGATTTGTCCGACAGCATCTCTCTCCCACCCGCCTCCCATCTTCACACGCCAATTCCTTTTGTTAAAATAAGTTTTTTTGTGTTACCAGTAACCATATAAAAAAAACAGTGAGTAGCGGTTTGCTGCACGTTTAGAAATGTCCGGAGCAATAAACGCAACGTTTCCCGCTTATTGGCTCAGAAAAGGTCAGCGGACTGAATCTTCAATCCGGAAATCGCCAGTTTAATTCAATCTCTCGGTGCTGCAATTAAAACAACAGTGCAAGTTTCTTTAATCGATTCTTGAAATTGTTACCGGCCTGGGGCTTGGGGCCTGGATCGGAAACCACTGGCAGTCTCAAGCCCTATCAAAACTCCCTTAACCTCTCATCTCCCTCTTAACTTCTCCTCCCTCCCGCACAGAGTACCAGCCGCTGGTGCTGGGCGGCTCCGAGCTGGCGCGGGCAGGGAAGGCCTCCACGTTCCGGCCAACTCGCGACTACGAAGAACCGGAGCAATCACCGGGGGGCGGTGGCGGCGGCAGCGGCGGCCTTCCTCTCCCGCCGCCACCCCTCACCCTCCCTCCCGTCCCAGCGGCGCCAGTGCCGGGAGCGCCGCCCTCGCCGTCGTCGTCCGTCGCGACCTCCCCTTCCCCGGCCGCCTACGACACCATCGGGGCGTACGACGACTCACCGGCGCGCTACGCCTCCCCGCTCTCCTCCCCCGCCGCACCGGCGCTCCACCTGTACGCCGAGCCGGTGCCGGCGCAGGTCCCCGAGTACGCGATGCCAATCGGGTTCACGCTCGACCCCGTGCGAGCGTTTCCCGTGGCCTACGACACGCCGAGAAGCCCGCGCAGGGCCGAGCAGGCGCCGGCGCGGCCAAATTTCAGCCAGTCGGCATCGGCGATCGGCGGTGCCAGCGGCGACGGTGGTACGGTGTACGACACACCCAGGGCCGTACGACGGAACGCGACGCGCGGGAACGTTGGCGCCGGTGATGCCGGCGGGGTGGAAGGGGGCGGCAGTTGAGCGGAGGTGGCCGTCGTGATTGGTCGATACGGTGCTGTACGGTGCGCGTGGGCCGACGTGATTGGTCGATGCTGGGTCACACGGCGTCTGTGGGACGACACGATTGGCCGACTTGTCGCGTGGCAGCACAGGAGGAATGAGGATGCGCGCGGTTTATGTGAATGTAATGTCGTTTGGAATTGTTCTACATTTTTAAGTTTTAGATTTTTTTCACGTGTGTCGATTTAACATTTTGTTTCACTACAATTATTATTTATATTTTGCGACGTTTTATTTTCATTTTTTTCGTACATTCGTACTTTTTTTTGCACGTTTGTGAAGTATTTATATGTTTCTTTAGTTTTGTTTAAATTTTATTTCGCGTGGATTTATTTCATCGGAACACGTGCAAATTTCTACAATTGTTTTCATTATTATTATTTATGTTTTGTTTCGTCGTTTTCCAACATCAAGTTTTTGCTCGACTGGGCGATAATTTGTTTTTGCGCGCTGAAGGCATTGTGGGTAGACTAACGATGGGCGCGCCACCCACACAGCGGTGAAGATGAAGATGATGAAGGAGGTAGCGCCGCCGCCCGCGTGGATTTTTGTCGTTGTGTTTGTACAGGGTTTGATACGGAGAGAGTTTTTACACTGTTGAGTGTGCATGATCGTTTTGAATAGGCATAATCATCATAATTCATAGGCGTTTGCAATAATTACCTATACTGTATATAAGAGCGAGCAAGAGACGACCAAGCTCCTGGCGCAATCCGTAGCGGCGTGTACTGTTAGCGAGCGCCCGTTGTGTCCGGCACGGCTCGTGCCGTGGCTGGTTGGTTAGTACTGCGCCTGGACATTGTTCACACGGCTCACTGGGTACTCAATTTAGGCCGAATTTACCTAGGGGGAGGACCAGTGTGCTTAATGGATTGTAGCAAAGTATGTTAAACCACTACGCCGTCTATCTCGCATACACACACCACACAAAGACAAAGACCACCCGTATAGCCTTAACAGACTGTTGGGGAAAGTGCTGTCAGCGAGTACCTAAGAAGGCCGGCACGGCACACGAGGGGGTGGTGTGGCTAGCACCACGCCCAGCCGCCTTTGTCTCCCCAGTGCTGATGTTTACATAACACCAGGTACTCACTTAAGGCTGAGTCGACCTAGGGGAAGCCCAGGACCGGCTCAGATATTACCGATGTTGGCCGTGAGCACATTGCCGCACAAAGACATACAACCGCAAAAAACGCCGTCACAAAAATCACGACATACACCACCACACTGTGGATTGGGGTGAGCAGAAGTTGTTTCAATATTGGGGTCGCGGTTGCATGGGGAGGCAACTCTGCTGATGATTGGATGCTGATGATTGGGTGAAGCTAACGACCAATCGCCAGGCTGCGTTGTCAGCGATGCACAAGCACAAGTGTGTGCAGCAACCCTCGCACGTCCATCGTGAACGCAAATTACGACGCGGATTTATGGCAGTGTCTGACATGTGACCCCATTTGAGGATGCGGCACGGAAGTTGTTTATTTGGCGATGGAGGCAGTCGGTCATCGGGTCTCTATGGCGGCCGACGGATCTGTTTTGTGTCTGTGTGAACACATGGGTCTCTGTGGGAGTCAGTACAATTTGAACTTCACATAGCGGCTTATGAACGCTGCGACCGCATCTCGAACCGATTTACGGGGAACGGCGGGGCGTATTTATTTGATCGAGTGGGGGAGGCAGGCAGTCAAAGGTCTGTATGTGAGTATGGAAGAGAGAGGAGGCAGTCATAGGGCAGAGGAGAAGAGGATCGTCTTGAACCTGGAATTGAACTGAGGCAGGGAGTCGACAGCACGGGTGGCTGGGGGAAGGGACGAGGAACCCGACTCTAAAGGGGCAGCAGAGACGAATGGGCGACCTCCCAGTGACCTTACAGGGAAAATAATTAACAGGCTGGCGTTTCGGGCAATGGCCCATGTTCAGAGGAGCAGAGTGAGAGGGGCGGCCAGATTGACCGAGTTGCAGGTGGAGAATGAAATGCACACTGCGTAAAAAAATACAACTTTTAATAGGGTTGATTTGAAAGTTTGAAGACGGGGGAAGTTTTCGGTCGGTGCGTAATCACCTGCCTTGAGCGTGGGGGTGACCAACCACGAAGGGCTGGCGAATACAAAGGAAGGCAAATCTCAAAGGAGCGTGGAGAGGCACTGAGAGTGACGAAGAGAGGGAACGTGCATGGGTGCGAGGGTGGGTGCCTGGGTGAGTGGGCGCCTGGGTGAGAGGGCGTCCCTAGGAGAGGGCTGTGGTGGAGACTCGCCACTCGGTGGTTGGCAGCCAAGGGAGGGAACGCGCCCGAGATGGTGCGTCCGACGCGGAGATGGAGCCGTGTGAGGTCTACTCTCGACGGACCGTTACGTCTTAGGGCTGTGAGGGATGGCGACGGCTTGGAGAGGCCTTCATCCAGCAGCGGATTGATCGTGGCTGATGATGAAGATGACGGACGGTTTTATTTTGATATATGACAAGTGTTTATCGTGGGTCAATGCAACTGAAATGTTTCGTCGGATAATTATCCGAGCAAGGCTATTGCCAATGAAAGTGAAAAATATGTTTTTTGCGCAGTCATTGGTAAACCGGGCTGATACCCATGAACTCTCTGCACTTGAGAACGAAGTTAAATCACAGCGCCGTCTATGTGAGCCCAAGGGTCTCTATGATAGTCACGGAAGATGGGGTCCATCAACTCGCTGTACTTGAGTATCCGGTGTAATCACAGTGGTTGGGCGGCAGGAACTCAGATCTGGTACCCTGGTTCTCATAGCCGTGCTGGTACTGCATCTCCGACACGGCCGTTATGAACCCAGCCCTCCCGAGCTGCCCAGCCGCCTCTACTGCCGTGATTATTATTATTTTTTTAAAATATTGTGACATTTGTTTTCTTTCCCCGCAGAGAATATTCCTGCACGGTTTGTTTTCGTATGTATCCTTCACGACGTATTTATTTTCATGGGTGTTTCCCGTTTAGACTTGTGCGGTGATTGTCGCGTTGCGTTGACCCCAAGGTGGCGTGGCGACGTTGCCGACTTGAAATCCGCGTCCTGTTACTGACTCTGCTTTGTGCTTCATTTAGAGACCGGTAGCGTTTACAAACATTCAGTACATGGTGCGGTTGTGGGGGGCGGTGAATTAGCGTACCGCGCCATGAACCCAGCGACCCGAGTTGGGATGACACCAGCGGCACGAGTACAGCTTCGCGATGGTGTTGTTGCGGGGGGGGGGGGTTGTTATCGCGCGCGTCGTTCGGCACGACGTCCGACGTTTCTTCAGCTCCTAAAAGAAGCCGCCAGCGCGCGTGGAGCGGAACGTCGGACGCGGCGCCCGAAGGACGCGCCCGCGGCACGGAGAGACGCACGGCGACTGCCGAGAAAAACCGCGCCCGGTCACTGTCGGGGCTGAGTTGAGTGACATCTGAACCGGTCATTGCTCCCCCACGCCCCCCCCACCCCCCCCTCACTTTGTCAACCCGCATTGTCCGGTGCGCTGAAGTATGGTCAGACAACCCCCCCGTGGTTGACAGAGCAGTGGCGAAGCTTGCATCCAGCAGTGGACTTACGACGGGCTGTAAGTTATTAGTGTTATTTTGTTTATTACTATCACCTAACATTGGTACGATGGCCTTTGAAGTGTTTTATTGTTTTGAAAGGTGTTGCTTGAAAGTTTTGTCGTGTTTTGTATTTTTACAACAACTTTTAAAAAATCGTCTTTTAGTCTTGGTCGTCGTGGATGAATACCGTTTGTAGTTTTTTTTTTCTCCGTTTTGTGAAGAAAATTTGCTTAGAACTACTGTATCACCGACTCAAACGTTGCAAGTCTTGTCAACGCTCACTCTGCGGGCGTGGGCGGGGGGCGACGCCGATCCCCTTATTCATGACGAGGAACTGCGGGAGGTGGCCCCCACCAGCATTCGGATGCAGAGGACGTTGCGGAACGTGCGCTGTTTAAACCCAAACAACGTGAAGAGCGAACGAAGGGCGAAAGCGGTGACACCGAGTGGAGCGTTCGGAGCGTGGCGACGGTCATCCGTTTGGGTCTCACGGTGGGATTGGTGCTACGGGGACGGTTGACTCGTGTAGACAAGCCAGGCGCTGGAGTTTGATTCCTCTATATATCTAAATCGGCTCAAGCCTGCAGTAAAATCACGTGGCTACGTCCATTCTGAATCCGTCTATCTCTCTCTCTCCCCGCCCACTGTCAAAATAGGCACTGTTCATTTCCGCTTGCCGCTTCTCTCTCTCTCTCCCTCTGTCGTCTTCTCTCATCACACGATCTCATCACACCCTCTCATCCCCGACAGCGTTGTGGGATGCTGTTGGCATGAATGACGTTATATAAAATGAAAGTACGATTATTATCGTAGCCCGGATATTCCTTCTCTGCCTCCTCCTGCACATGCGCTCCTCCTCTGTCCCTGCTGCTCGTCTTGAGCCGTGCCCTCCTCGGTATCCATCTCTTGGAGGTCTTCCATCCCGGCATCTCTTCCCGTTCACGGTTATCTTCCTCTGTCCGCTGCCCTCTTGCACAACTGACTCGACTCCCCTTATACCGTGGTGTGTCACGTGTAACGTCAGTTTTGTAAAGTGAAATTTTACCTTCATTCGACTCTCGTCAAGCGGAGCCTTCACACTATTCGTTGCTCGAACAATGAATGAGCTGACTCAAGCAAATATCGTTTATAATTGATGTTTTGGGTTAGGGCACGATGCAATGCTCTACCTTGGCTACAGTCTTTGGGCCCTCCACCACCCGGCAAAGTTGCGCAACCGTCCGCTGGAAACGTGGACACAGCAAGGGTGCAGGCGACGAAGTTGCGCGATTGCTCCAACCGATTGCTCGGATGCGATGAAGCCGGTTTTGAAGCTCTGCAGGATTTTTTTTTGCCTGGCTTTAGATCACCACAGTGTAGGGGGAATCTCGTCCGTACGTGGGGTGAGCTGCGACTTTCGGATGCCTTCAGCAGAGCCACACATTAACGCTCCCCTCGATTATAATCAAACAGTAGCGTGAGTCTCTAGCAGTGTCGGGAATGATCGAGAATATGGTAGTTTCACTCGAGTTTGCAATTACTGCGGCTACGATGCAGCGAGGGGTAAATTATAAAAATTGCCCGCGGGCCATTTCGGAGTTGTCGGCTTCACGTGGCTGTGATCGGATTGCCGCGAGACTGAACGCAAACATTTCTCATTGGACCTAGGTTATATCGGCACTCTGCAATCCACTGAAATAAAGTTCAATGCTGAGTTATCTGTAAATCAATTCCTAGCCCCCCCCCCCCCCCCCCCAACATATGTCAGTTTCTGGACGGGTGTCAACCCAAAAGCCCATAGGTCGAATTAAATTAAGTCGTGGACTATGGGACCTCTCCTTCCTTGGTTGTCGTAGCCTTCGACATGATTGTCATCTTGTCTTGGATTAACCCCGGGCTTTGGGACAATTAATGTTTCATCCCGGACTCTGCAATAGCGGTTAGACCGACTTTTATTCTGATCCTGGTTTTAATCTCGACTTAGACTAGGTCTCGTCAATTGTGGTTAGACCTGGTCTCAGTTTGGTCTTAATATGATCCTGGTATAACCTTGATTTTAGACTGGGTTTTGAGTGGTTGTTGTTTATAGTTTGGTCTTAAGTCCGCCAGATCTCGGCATGACCCGTGCCTGGCACAGACCTCTCTCTGGCTGTTTGTAAAGTGGGGAATGTGGGGTTTGATGCTGAATAAACTTTCAATTTCTTCCAACGTCTCCGACATTTGTCGCATTATTCTTGCTGGCGTCATAATTATTTCTCGAATTCCATGATACGGGGCTGGTCGGGAGTGGTGGCGCAGTGGTTACCGCACTGTTTTTGTGGAAGCTGTGTTGACCTGAGTGTGATTCCCGATCATCAAGAGTTGAAGCAATGTTGGTTCAGTGGTGGGGTAGTTTGCGCCGTTTTGATTTTTAGCCGCGGCAGTCGAAGCAATGGAGCAAGTGGTTCCCCCCCCCCCACCCCATGGCTTCACCACAGGCCATCGGCATGTCCCGTGTGGTGGGGTAAAGTGTGGGTA